CATCAGCCTATTGTTGTTTCGAATTTCAAATCAACATGGTCAACAGGCGTCAGTTTTGATTGGACCCCCCATTGTTATCCGAATATTCCTTGGCTTTTCCTGTGTTGCTTCTCTGAACCCTTCATCCCCTCACCTGTCCTCTGCCTACTTATGGCACAGGGTGACTAAAACTTCAATATATACAAAGATAACCCTGATTGGTGGTACCTATTTTTAAGAAAAAGAAAAAAAAAAGTAAAATATCTTGAACGTCCTGTAACTATAAAGTGCTTACAATTAGATCAATATTTTTGGGTTTCTGTCTAGATTACGCGCATGTGCGAATCTGTTTGAAACTTGAACCTATTCAACCCTTCATATTACACCACAGCTTTCTGAAGCAGCTGAATTAAATGTGTGGCTTCGAAGTGACCGCTCCTGTTCAACATTCTACGCTTTCCGAAAGCAACGGTTTCCAGTTATTGTTCTGCAAGTGGACCATGACACGGGATCCTTTTGAACTTTTCCTGCGGGAATTGAAAATCTCTTGGCAATCGCTGCAAATTTAATGGTTTTACTTTTAACGTTTTACTGGGCATGAGCATGTCGCATCCATTCCCACCACGGTTACGACAATATGCCTCAGACAAATAGGTCCCCAAGGGGGCAAGGATGTAATGATACCGGCTGAAAATGAATACGACGTCACGTTGATGCGCACGTGTCACGCTACAGTGATACAGATCATGGATATTTGCGCTTTCATTTGCTTTCTGATATTCATGTCGCTGGGTGGTCCAGGTTTGTGAAAATTAAAACTTTCGAACAGATGCGTCTTATTAAAACTTGATATATTGCAGCTCAAAAACTTGTTTCTATCTCTATTCTTTTGTGGGTGGGGTTTCAACTCTGATTATTTCTAGTTTTCTTGTCATCTGGGCACTCAATATTTTACTTTGGGAAAAGACTAATCTTTGACAAGTTGTCAAAATGTCATAAAGCCACAAAGCAGTGTTTAGGACAGAAAAAAATGGTTCATTTGTACAATTTTAAATACCTACATCTTTCACATTTGAAATTTGAATTTTGACAAAGTATTCTCTTGCTCAAGCAACCGATACCACAGATTAAAAAACTGCAATTTCACCCCCCCTAAAGAAAATCATAATTTTTGGCTTAGTACATTCGAACAGCTGGTCGACTTAATGAATTTGGAGAGCCGTGCACGAGCTCGGTAAACAAGACCAAGTCATGTGACAAAAAATGAAATCCATACTATTACTTTCTTCTTCATTTAAGACTTACTTTACTTCACAATACCTCTCTTTGTTATCCTGTTCTTTCTTATTTTCTTTGTCAATCCCTGGGGATACAAAATGTAACGATACCATCATTGGCGTGTCCCAGTCAGCTCCGACAGCCAGTTCTTTTCCAAAGGATGCAAAGTCTTAACTTGGGGGCCGGAAAACGAACACACGGTCTGATCGCCAACACGACACACTCTGGAAGAAGAGACGACTAGACGAGGGCGCCTCACAAAAATGTTCACCATCATGTCTTCAGTTATGTTCCACGTGCGAAAAAATCTCTCAAAACGATATCATTGTGAGTTAGCTTGCCTGGGGCGATCCTCGTCCGTCTGCTCATTAACAAAGGACAGGCTCTGAATCAGATAGATCTCTGGCCATCGATTGCAGGGTGGTGGATCACATTAGGAGATAGTGATGTTAGTACCAGTGTGAGTGCAGATGTAAAGGGCGATCAAGGGGAGGCGTATGTTTGCAGTCTGCCGGTCTGAAATCCCTCTGGGATACTTTGTTATCTTCCTTTTACCC